TGGCCTGCTGTGTTCATCCAGCTCTACACCTTGTTATCCTAGTAATTGGTGGTTTGGCTAGGCCTAAGACAGTGGCATCCATTGATTGAGAAAGTTCTTCAGCATTGGAGAAACTAAGGATGGGTATTCAATCTGGACTGGTCTCAAATGATATTTCCTCCAGGAACTTGAGGTCGTTTGAAACTCTGTTGTCCATGACTTACAGCCAATCCAATGCCCCATCATCTCTGTGCTTGCTGATTTAAAAATACTTATTCTTGTTTTTAAATCACTGCATGTACTCACTGCTCTCTACCTCTGTAATCTCTCCCAATTCCACAAGATCAAGTTGGAGGCAGCCAATTCAACAGCATATCACTCTCTCAGCTCCTGTCTCCTCAACACCTATCCACGAGGCACAGGTCAGGAGTGTGATGGAATACTCCCCACTTGCCTGGATGGGTGCAGCCCCAACAACACTCGAAGCTTGACATCATCCAGGACGAAACAGCCCACTTGATTGGCACCACACTCACTATCTTGGACATTCACGCTCTTCATCACTGATGCACAGTGACAACACATTTGCATTGCAGTGAATAAACAAGGCTCCACTGAAAGTACTTTCCAAATTGATGACTGCCACCATCTAGAAGGACAAGGGCAACAGATATATGGGAACACCACCACCTTCAAGTTCCCCTCCAAGCCACTCACCATCTTGACACAGAAATATACCACTGCTCCTTCAATGTTACTGGGTCAAAATCCTGGAACTCCCTCCCTAACAACGCTGTCGTGGTATCCACACCCAAGGGCTGCAGTAGTTCAAGCAGGCAGCTCACTATTACCTTCTCCAGCAAATTAGAGATAAGCAATAAATGTCCTAGCCAGCACTGCCCACATGAGCAATAAGGACATTTCTCACTGAGCTATCTGGGCTCCACGAATTCTCCTGTTTTGGATGCTCCCAACGAATGTTGCTCGACCACAAGTGTCTGTGCCTTTAGTTGTCTGAACCTCAAGCTCTGGAATCCCTCCCCTATACGGCTCTGTCTCTTACCTCCTTTAAATTACTTCATAAAGTTGACCCCTTTCACAAAACATTTGCTCCCCTGACCCACTGTCACCGTACATGGCTCTGTATTTTCATACTTTGTTTTATATCGGTCCCATTAAGTACCTGGGGATGTTTCCACTTCATTGGAGGTGCTATATAAATGTGGGTTGTTGTTGTTGTAGTGATGCAGTGGTGCTGACGAGGCGCTGAGAACCAATGGGAGAACAATCCCACATGTGGACAGCACTGAGTTCGTTGAGTGTGGAAGATCTTGCCCACAATAAGGAATGATGGCCACCTCAGGAATACAAGGGAGGGTGGTGCTCAATGGTACCTCAGTCAGGATGCTACACCTTGATGTGGTTTGAAAACAAAGTCCTTTCACCAAATAAAACCCCATTCGTCAAAAGTTGCATCACCGGCCGAAACCCATCAACAATTTGCGGGATTGTGGACCACAATGATTCTCTTTTTGATTTGGTTTTGGGGTGTAGCATCGCTAGCGAGGTCTGCATTTATCACCCAGACCCTCTGATGAACTCAAAGGTCACGGCAGCAGAATTTTGTTTCATTGACCCCTTCGCTTCTCATCTTGGGTGTCCCAACCCTCACATCTTCTTCCTTTTCAGATACCTGTATGGAAAACCAGTGAGAGGAAATGTGACAGTTAGCATCTCCAACCCGGTCATCCCACAGATGCTCAACAAAACTTTTGAGGTACTTCTGAAACTTTATCTCTCTTCAAAACAACTCTCCTTGATACCTCAACCCCCTTTACTCCTTCAATTCCCTTCTCTCCTGTCATCAGTACTTGCGAATGCACTTAATTACCTGTTGGCTCCACTCTCGGATTCTAAACAAATGGCCATTACATTGGTTTCTCTGGGTTTGTCCAGATTCAGGCCATTCAGCTAACTCACCTATACTGTGTTTTGCTACACATAGATCTGCCCCCACTTTGCCCCATCTCAGTCTTTCAGCATGTCCACGTATCCCTTTCTCACTCATGCATTTTTCCAGCTTCCTTTTAAATGCATCTACATATTCACCTCAACCTCTCTGAATGTTAATGAGTTTTATTTCACTTTTCATGGAATGTGGCTGTCCCTGGCTAGGCAGCATTTATTGCCCATCCCTAATTGCCCAGAGGGTAGTTAAGAGTCAACCACATTGCTGTGGATCTGGAGTCACATGTATGCCAGACTGGGTAAGGATGGCAGCTTCCTTCCTTAAATGACATCAATGAACCAGATGGGTTTTTTCAACGATTGACGATGGCTTCAGGGTCATCATAGAAACATAGGAAATAGGTGCAGGATTAGGCCGTTCAGCCCCTTGAGCCTGCACCACCATTCAATATAATCATAGCCGATCATGCAATTTCAGTATCTCGCTCCCGCTTTCTCTCCTTACCTCTTGATCCCTTTAGCCATAAGGGCCATGTCCAGGAATCGGTCCCAATACCTTCCTGTGTGAGAGAATTCCACAGGTCCACAACTCTCGGAGTGAAGAAATTCTTCCCCATCTCAGTCTTTAATGGCCTACTCCTTATTCCTAAATCATGACCCCTAGCTCTGGACTTCCCACATCTGGCCTGTCTAGTCCCATCAGAAATTTTTTGTTTCTCTGAGATTCCCCCCTCATTTTTCTGAAAGATTAGTTAGATTCATTGCATTCTTGATTCAAAATTTTTATTGAATTTGAATTTCATTATCTGCCATGGTGGGATTTGAACCCTAATTAAGGGCTCAGTGGTTAGCACTGCTGTCTCACAGCCATAGGAACCCAGGTTCGATCCAAGCCTTGGGGTTACTGCCTGTGTGGAGTTTGCATGTTCTCCTTATGTCTGCGTGGGTTTCCACAGCAATGATGTGCATGTTAGGGGGATTGGAGATAGTTTTAGGGACGACATGGTGGCTCAGTGGTTAGCACTGCTGCCTCACAGCACCAGGGACCCAGGTTCGATTCCACCCTCAGGCGACTGTCTGTGTGGAGTTTGCACATTCTCTCTGTTTCTCGTGGGTCCCCTCTGGGTGCTCCGGTTTCCTCCCACAGACCAAAGATTTGCAGGCTAGGTGGATTGGTCATGCTAAATTGCCTATAATGTTTGGGGATGAGTGGGTTATTTGGCCTATAGGGGGATGGGTCTGGGTCAGATGCTCCAAGTGTAAGTGTGGACTTGTTGGGCCAAAGGGCCTGTTTCCACACTGTAGCGATTCTATGATTCTAATACATAACCTGGGTCTTTGGATTAATAGTCTAACAAGAATACCTCTAGGGCATTACTTCCCCAAAACGTTCCACAGTGTCACCACTCTTTGGGTAAAGATGTTTCTCCCAAATTTGGATTTGGATTTATGAGGGATGAGCTTACATCGTGATGATCCCTTAAGTATGTTCTTCCCTTTCTCTACAATTGTGACCAAGTCATCAAAGGTCAGTGGATCACTCTCATTCATCCCTCAAAGTCACCTCTTTCACTGCTGTAGGGTTGTGTGATGGATGTTTAGGATGTTAACCTCCCTAATTGATGCCAGAATGTACTTTGAATACTTTGTGAATTAATTTGATTGCCCAACGCAATGTGCACTGTGTGAATCCCCCACTATCAACATCCTGAGGGTTACCACTGACCAGAAACTGAACTGGCCGAGCCATATAAGTGCTATGGCTACAACAGCAGATCAGAGGCTAGGAATTCTACAGTGAGTAACTCACCTCCCCAAGGTCTGCCCAACTTCTACAAGTCAGGAGTGTGATGGAATACTCCCCACTTGCCTGGATGAGTGTAACTCCAACAACACTCAAGAGGCTCAACACTGTCCCAGACAAAGCAGCCCGCTTGATTGGCACCACATCCACAAATATCCACATTTTAAATCTTTGTTAAGCAAACGTATTAAGGGAAAATGGGCCAAAGTCGGGTATATGCAGTTATGTACAGATCAGATATGATCTCATTGATAGGAAGAATGGACTCAAGGGGCTGAAAGGTCTTCTTCTGTTCGAATGTTCCTATATTCCTATGTTCAGTCCCTCCACCACCGACGCTCAGTAGCAGCAGTGTGTACTGTCTACAAGAAGCACTGCAGAAGTTCACCAACGATCCATAAATAGCACCCTCCAAACCCACTACCACTTCCATCCAGAAGGACAAGGGCAGCAGATACATGGGAACACGACCATTGGCAAGTTCCCCTCCACGCCACTCACTGTCCTGACTTGGAAATACATCTGTTCCTGCGGTGTTGCTGGGTCAAAATCCTGGAATCTCCTCCACTGGGGAGGTGATGGCCTAGTGGTATTATTGCTGAACTGTTAATCCGGAGACTCAGATAATGTTCTGGGAACCTGGGTTCGAATCCCGCCATGGCAGATGGTGAATTTGAATTCAATAAAATATCTGGAATTAACAATCTAATGATGACCGTGAATCCATTGTTGGGAAAAACCAATCTGGTTCTCTAATGCCCTTTACGGAAGGAAACTGCTATCCTTATCTGGTCTGGCCTACGTGTGACTCCAGATCCACAGGAATGTGGTTGACTCTTAACTGCTCTCTGGGCAATTAGGGATGGGCAATAAGTGCTGCCTCGCCAGTGATGCCCTCAGCCCGTGAATGAATAAAGGATAGAAAAAGATTCCCTTCCTAAGGGCATTGTGGGCCAATCTAGAGCACATGGACTGCAGCAGTTCAAGAAGGCAGCTCACGACCACCTTCTCAAGGGGGCAACTAAGGATGGGCAAGAAATGCTGGACCAGCCAATGATCCCTGCATGCCATGAATGAATTTTTAAAAAAATGACAACATCAATGCCCAGGCACTGGAGAGACTAAAATGCTTATTTGCATCACAGTGTGTCAATGACAAAGTGCAGATCTAGATGTCTACTTCAGTGAGTACTAACTCCCTCGTATCTCCCTCTGCAGGTGAATGGGACTGTCCATTTCAGCTTTGCTACTGCTGAACTTCAGGAGATCTTCCCTAACCTATTTGGAGATTTTCTGGGGTTTGAACTTTTATCCCCAGCAAACCAGTCATTGCGGTCACTGATAGGACCTTGGCTGGAACCCTACATGTTTCATAAATTCCCACTGACAATCAAAGCTGCAATGACAGAATCACAAACAGGTAAGGTCTCATCACAAGTGATGATGTTTGCAGTGTACAGCCTCTGAAACCTCCTTGAAACAATTCTACAGAGGCCAGTATCCCATCACCAAGTCACCCTTTATTTACACCTGAAAAGTCCTTGACACTGATTCAGTTTCCTCAGAGCCAGCTCTCACAGTGAGCAGAACTCCTGACAGTCTGTTTCTTATATGACAGCCAAGGCTCCCTGATTGGACCAGATTAACAGCCCCAATCAGGGAACTCATATTCTATGAGGTTCATCTGACTAACCTCGTTACAATCACTAATCTCCCGAGGATGCTTTTAATTGGATGCTACTTGGCATCTAAGACTGTCAGCTGACATCCTACCTGAGTAGCCAATAGGAACGTAGGATTCTGCAAGACCTGAAGGATCATCCCTGATTTCATTGATCTCAGACTTCACCTATTGTAGCTGAAAAACTGAATTTTGAGTTACGCTCCAGGAGAAATTTTCATGATCTTATCTACTTCTTAACCATTCCACTCACAGATAACTGTTACGTTCCCAGTTATTACAAATACTAGACAAGTCTGATATTAGGATCTGACTTGATAGACAATAATCATTTAAGGAATATAATACATAGAAGGTCCAAGGGTATGAAAATAAGCAGTAGGTTTCCAGGATTAAATAGGAACATGAAAAGAATATTCACAAACTTTTAATGTAAGAAAGGTGGGGGCACTGCATTATTGATAAAGGAGACCATTGCCACAATAATGATGGAGGATGTCCTTGCAGGGTCTTCAAAAGAGGACTTCTGGGTAAATTTTTGAAACAAAAAAGGGGCAATTACTTTGCTGGGATTTTACTGCAGGCATCCCGATAGAGGGAGGTAGAGGAGCAGATATGTAGGAAATCACAGAGAGGTGTGAGAAAAACAGGATTACAGTTGTAGGGGATTTCAACTTTGCTAACATTAACCAGGATCATCTCAGTATGAATGGATTAGGCAGAGTGGAATTTTTAAAATGCATCCAGTAGACCTTTTTGTATCAATACATATATAGCTCTGCTAGAGATGGGGCAGTGCTAGACCTAATTCTAGGGAATGAAACTGGTCAAGTGTTTGAAGCTTCAGTAGGTGAGAATTTTGGGAATAGTGATCATAACTCTGTAAGTTTCAAAGTCATATGGAAAGGGATAAGGATAGTTGTGTCTAAATTGGGGGAAGGTGATTTCAATATCATTAGACAGGATCGGGCAAACATAGACTGGGAGTAAGTCTACATTTGGAAAGTAGGAGTCTTTCAAAAGTAGTATACTGAGAATTCAGGGCCAGCATTTTCCTCCAAGAGTGAAGAGCAAGGGCTACAGGTCCAGGGATCCCTGGATGTGAAGGGATATTGAGAATTTAGTGAAGAAAAAGAAGGAAGCATATATCAGGTACGGTGCATTAAAAACAGGGAGAGCTTTCAAAAGTATAAAGAGTATAGGGGATTGCTTCAAAAGGAAATCAGGAAGGTAAAGAGGGGCCACAGAATATCTTTGGCAGATGGGAGTAAGGAAAACATTAAAGCTTTTTGTAAGTATATTAAGAATAAGAGGATTATCAGGGAAGGAGTGAGACCTATTAGAGGCCAAAGGGACAACATATGCATGGAGCAGGTGGTTGTGGGTGAGGTCTTAAATGATATTTCTCAACTTTATTTACAAAGGAGGAAGACATTGTAGCTGGGAATTTCATTTGGGATGATGAGGTTCTAGAACACGTTAAGATTAATAACAAGGAGGTATTAGATGTTTAAGCAGCATAAAGGTGCATAAATCCCCAGGGCCTGATGAGAGGTATCCCAGGTTGCTATGGGAGACAATGGAGGTGATTGCTGAGGCCCTGGTGGAGATATTTAATAATTCGCTGGTCACAGGTGAAATGCCAAATGATTGGAGGATAATTAATGTGGTTCCTTTATTCAAGAAAGGCAGTACAGAATTACAAACCAATTAGTTTGATGTCAGTGGAAGAGAAATTATTGGAAACAATTCTGAAGGACAGGATTAATCAATACTTGGGGAAAGTGCAGGGATTGATCAGGAATAGTCAGCATGGATTTGTTAAAGGAAGATCCTGTCTGACTAACTTAATTTAGTTTTTTTTAATATAAAAGTGACTTAATATATTTATGAGGGTAGTGTAGTTGATGTGGTTTACATGGACTTCAGTAAGGCCTTTGACAAGGTCCCACATGGAAGGCTGAGCCAGAAGCTAAGAGCCCATGGGATCAAAGGCAACTTGGCAAACCAGATCCAAAATTGGCTTGAAAATAGGAGGCAAAGTGAGCTGGTGGAGGGATGTTTCTGTGATTGGAAGCTTGTGATCAGCGGTGTACCACAGGGACTGGTGCTGAAAGGGAGGCTGATGGCTCGAAGGGAGGATCAGAAGGTGGAATGGAAGGGAGGAGGTGGGGCTGGAAGGGGAGGCGGGGAACGGGTGGCAAGGTTATTTGAAATTAGGGAACTCAGTCTTGAATTCTCTGGGATGTAGAGTGCCCAGGCAGAAGATAAGGTGTTGTTCTTCAAATTTGCACAAATCCTGAGGGACTCAATATTGAGTTCTCTAATTTCAAATAACCTTCCCACCCATCCCATGCCTCCTCTTCCAGCCCCACATCCTCCTTCCCATTCCACCTTCTGACCCTCCCTTCCAGCCACCAACCGGATTCATCCTTCCCATCAACCAAACAGGTTGTACCTACTACCTGTGTCCATCTATCTCCACCATTTCGTCTCCACCCCTTCCACCCCAACTTTTTCTGCAGCTTCCCCTACCCCCACGTTCAGTCCTGAAGAAGGATAGTACCTGAAACCATTGACTGCTTCTTTCTTCCAGGTACTGCCTGGCTTGCTGTGTTCTTCCAGCCCCCTGTGTGTCTACCTTCTCATCTAGAACTGCCCAGATAGACTGGGGCTATTTCCCCTGCAGCGTCAGAGGCTGAGGAGCGACCTTACAGAACTTTATAGAATCACGAGGGGCATGAATAGGGTGAATAGCCAGTGTCTTTTTCTCAGGGTCAGAGATCCAAAACTGGAGGTTATAGGTTTATGATGAGAGGGGAAAGATTTAAAAGGGACCTAAGGGGCAACCTTTTCACACAGAGGATGGTGCATGTATGGAAGGAGCTGCCAGAGGAAGTGGTGGAGGCTGGTATAATTACAACATTTAAAAGGTATTTAGAAGGATAAATGAATAGGAAGGGTTTAGATGGATATGGGCCAAATGCTGGCAAATGGGACTAGATTAATTTAGAATATCTGGTTGGCATGGACGAGTTGGACCGAAGGGTCTGTTTCCATGTTGTATGGGTCTATTTCCATGCTGTATATTTCTATGACTCTAAATTGGGCTTAGGTATATAGTGGAATTGTTCCTTGTGGTTTAAAGTGCAGATACTACTCAGTTTGTGAACCTGGGTTTGTATCTGCCTCATGTTGGAATAGGACTAGATATTAAATAGATATTAAATGGAATAATTTGACCAGGTTGACTGAGTACATGTTGGTGATTAAAGCCCCTGTTTTGTGACCACAGGAGTGATGCAATCCACAGACATAAAAGTCACCGTTTCATTTGTGAAATACCGGCTGCAGATTCTCAGCTATCAGAAAATAATAAAGCCGCCGCTCAACTTCACAGCCAAGGTAAGTACTCATCAAGACAGATGTAACCTCAGAGGTCTGAATGTAACCAAGCCTGGGTGAGAGCTGGGAGGTGGCTGGGAGGTGGGATGTGATGGGACAGTGGATGTAGACAGTCAGCTCACAGTTTACTGTCAACAACTTCACATCAACCTACAGTCACAACTCTCCAGTCCACCAGGATCTTTTAAAGTCACTTCCGATCAGTGCCACCATTTCCTTTGAGAAAGAAATTGAACTTGTCTTTGTTAGCTAAGCTGGATGTATTATTATTCAAGCCTACGTACCCTGAAATAATGATGTTTGGACATTATCAAGAATATTATTGAGTCCCCTGGATGTACAAATGCACTCAAAGCAGTTGGTCCACCATTGCCACTCCATCAATGCTGCTACGCAAGCCATTTTTGGCCATTTTGTACAAAGCAAGATCCCACCAAGAGCAAATAGAATGCATGTCTACCCACTTGGGGGCAGCATGGTGGCTCAGTGGTTAGCACTGCTGCCTCACAGCACTGGGGACCTGGGTTCGATTCCAGCCTCGAGTGACTGTCTGTGTGGAGTTTGCACATTCTCCCCGTGTCTGTGTGGGTTTCCTCCAGGTGCTCCAGTTTCCTCCCACAGTCCAAAGATATGCAGGCTAGGTGGATTGGTCGTGCTAAATTACCCATAACATTCAGGGATGTGCAGGCTAGGTGGATTAACCATGGGATATGCAGGGTTATAAGAATAGGGTGGGGGGTGTGAGTGGGATGCTCTTCAGAGGGTCGGTGTGGACTTGATGGGCTGAATGGTCTGCTTGCACACTGTAGGGATTCTATAATTCTATCTTTGCCCTCTTTTGAGAAAGCAGACTTAAGTAACCATCTCCTGCTTGACCTGTGAGTGTGGCAGGTTGGGGAGGGAGGGGTTTCTGCCGGCTTGTGGGTTCTGGCTTCTGGTGGAAACCGATAAGCCCATGAGAGTGTCGGTGAGAGTGTAGGGGAACCAAGGAATATGGGGAAAACGCAAAAAAGTAAATGTGAAGACTGTCAGATCAACTGTGATCCTATTGAATAGTTGAGCAGGATCGAGGGGCTGAACGGCCTACTCCTGTTCCTATTTCTTATGGTTTTATGGTCTTATCTCATTAAGGACATAAGGTTTACTTTTAACTCACTTTTGGTATTTAATGAACAAAAACATTTACGGCAAGGATTGTCAGTTTCACTATGTGTCTTCCCCCACTGAATCTAAGAATTCTGGTCATGTCAACTACGTTGCTGCATTTTTGTGTCCACTGGACAACTAAACACCTCTCTTGTTAATTTCAAGGTCCAGGTGATACGTGTCGATCACAGGAAACTGACCCTGCAAGACAGAGAGAACATTCTGGTTTTCCAAATATCACAGAGCCAGAGACACCCATTTGTAAACCCAACACTCACCAGCAAACCATCAGATCGTCGTAACGTTGCCAGGGATATCTGGGAGACATCCTCACACACCATCAATGCCACTGTTCCAGAGAGTGGATTGGTTAAGCTTCAGTTTCCACTGTTGCCAAACACTGTGAGCTTATGGATACAGGTAGAAAATAGACTCTCTTAAACCATCTCCTGCACACAGATGCGAGCACGCACACGCACACACACACACAGTACACACACATACACACACACACACACACAGCACACACATACACACAACACACACAACACACACACACACACACACAAACACACACACAACACACATACACACACACCTGAATGAGCTTTATTGTCACATGTACTCGAATGAGTACTGTGAAAAGTTTCTAAGTTGCACTTTCTAGCTCCATCTTAGGTACAGAGTACTCTTGGTACAACCCTTAGCTCCAGACGAGAGAAATAAAGAGAAAACAGTTACATTTCAGCTATACACAGTATAACCAAAGGTCAGAAAAACAAGAAGCAAAGTTAAAAGACTAATGTCGGGGTCTCTCTCTCACACGCATACACATATCCACACATGCACACACACACACTCACTCACTCATTTACACTGACAGACACACATTTACACTCACACACACTCACACACACACTCACTCATTTACAGTCTCACACACACACTCACACACTCACTCATTTACACTCACACTCACACACACACACACTCACTTATTTACACTCACACACACATACACACATGCACACACATTTACACTCACACACACATACACACACACTCATTTGCATATGTACACAAGCAAACACACACACACATCCACACATGCAGATACACACATGTGCATGTGCACACATATCCACATACACATGCAGATACACACATGCACATGCATTCACACATGCACACACATGTACCCTCACACATACACACATGCGCAAACATGCATGCGCACACACACACAAACACACGCATGCACACGAGCACACACACATACACGCGTGCACACATGCATGCATGCACACACATAAACACATGTACACGTTCACACACATACACACATGTGCACACATGCACGCATGCACACACATACACACACATACACATTCACAAACCCTCACTATCACTTATTGTCAAAGTCACACTTGTTGACACACTGTGTCTCTCTCACATACACACTTACTCACTCACCCATAGACACACAGGCTTACTCACATACACCACCAGTTACATTGTCACTTGTTTACACAATTTCACTCTCATTCATTCACATTCTTACTCACTCTCTCTCACTCATTTACACTCACTCACACACACTTACTCTGACTCACACACTCACTGTTGTTCACCCAGACTTTCACTCATTTACACTCACACTCACTCACTCTCCACTCACACGTTCCCATTTGTTTACACTTACTATCATTCATTCATGCTCACTCATACACAATTTCGCTAACTTAGGTACAATCATATCCCTTCTCTCTCACTCACTCTCACACTTCTCCCATTCCAGTTTGACCTGGGGTCTGGGAGAGCTGGTGCTGCTGGGCCTGGGAGAGTGGTGTTGGGTGCTAGTGGGGTACTTTGCCACTTTGTGGTTACTAAGATCTGGTGGCAAACTATAAGAGCATAGTTGGGGGCGGGGGGGGGGGGGGGGGGGGGGGGGGGGGGCGCGGTGTGTGGGGTGGCAGTGGTTGGGAATGTCCTGGTCAGTCTGTACATTAGGATAAATGGGAATAAAACGCATGTACATGTGCTAGTGTGATATATACATGAATGAACTCAGCTGAACACCAGCACAGGACAAACAGTGTCACAGGAACAACTCACTTTGGGCAAAAGCCAACCACCTCAAATAAAGGATGATTCCACCCATGCTCAACATTTTCTTATCCACAATTGCTCACTTTGATATACATTTTTACACACACATGTTCTCACTCACACATTCTTACTGATATGTGTGCACAGTCTCACTCACTCATACATATTCTCACAAGCACACCCTTATTCTCTCATTCACACACACACACACACACACACACACACACACACACACACGCTCTGTCTCGCTTATATTCACATATACTCTCAAACACAAATATTCATGCTTTCTGTTACACTCTCAAACACTCTCACTCACTCATACGCATTCTCACAAACACACTTAATCCTCTCACTCAGACTGGCTCGTGTGCACACATACACTGCCACACACACTCACTTATTCACATACACTCTCATACGCACACACTCACTCACACATTCTCCCTCACACATACTCAGCCTCATGGGGATTTGGTGGTGGGATTTAAATTCAGTTAACAAAATAAATTGTCAGTCAAAATTAATCTGGTTCACAAATAGCCTATAAGTGACTCCAGACATGTAGCAATGTAGTTGGCTTGTAACTGCCCTTTGAAATAGCTTGGCAATGTGGGCCAAATGGACAACCAACACTGACCATACCGGTATTTTAATTATTGTCAAGTGTAATATTCCTCACCTTTGACAGTCCATGAAGTCACTCAATTAAGAATAATTAGTGGAATTTGTGGATTTAGAAATGGTTGGGGCATATAGACAATATGTAATGGGTTCTCACTGTGTTGCTAAAATTCCCAACAGGTTACATTTGAGAAAACTGTAGAACATATTTCAGTGAGTAGTAATGCTTGGCCTTATGAGAGACCAGTCATCCAACTTCAAACTCAGACTCCCATCCTCAAGGTAATTATCAGAGAGAAATTCATCCAATTATTCTGTGAACCTTGATTTTAAAGCGTGTTGATGAGCTGTGTTTACTTCCAGGTGGGGTTGCCGTTTGAAGTTTCCATTGAAAGCTCGGAGTTATTGAACGAGACGACCTATCAGGTATCTTAATCCGTAAATTATAATTTAAAAGGAAAGGTTCATTTATGCAGCACGGTGTCATGGCTTTTAGGGAGATCTTACCAAATATCGTTATGTGCACTGCATACGCAAACACAGTGGTCATTAATGGCAATATGGTGACTGCTTTTCCAGTAAACATCCAACTGAAGGATGAGTCAGATCGATAACCAAAACAGAAATTGCTGGAGAAACTCAGCAGGCCTGGCAGCATTTGTGGAGAGAGAGAAATAGAGTTAACGTTTCGGGTCTGATGACACTTCTGACAGCGGCTATGAAGAAGTGGTATTAATGGTGAAGATTGGGTTGTGGTTGGGGTGGGACATGAGAGGATAGGTGGAGGCAGATCCCACGGAGAGAGAAAGTGGCAGGCAGACAGACGAGGTGATTATTGATAGTAAGACACGACAGAGGAATAAGTGATAATGAGGGCTAAGAACAGGAGATAATGGGTAGGCTGAAGAAGGGTCACTGAACCCAAAACGTACATTCAGTTTCTCTCTCCACAGATGCTGTCATACCTGTTGAGTTTCTCCAGCAATTTCTGTTTTTGTTCCATTAACTAGTTTTAGATATATTGTCACATGTATACAGGGAAATTTTTTTTTGTGTGTTATATGCAACTGTTGCTGCCAGCGCCATCTTGAAACACTGAATATAATGCCAGACTTTATTGCAGTGGAGTTCATCTTTCTCTCTTCTTCCTGTTCCATCTCCACTGCTCCTCCAGTCACATCAGTCGGGGGTCTCAGAACAGGCCCCTGGGTCTCTGTAATGGGCTCTGGGCTCTTGGTTACAGGCCTCTGCCACCTCCAATCCTGAGACTGTTGCATCTGAGCTGGAGCCATGGGCCTGGAGATATGTGGGCTCCATACCTCCCGCTCCTCAAGACGCTGCCGCCAGTCTCTGGTTGTTGGGGTCTGCCACTGTCATTTTTGCTGATGCCACTGCTCCCTCAGGCGCCTGGGCCTAGTCATGATAAAGGGACTAAGAATAGGTCAGCTGGACTGAAAGCAAACCATATCAGGACAGGAATAGGGTGTGGGAGTGATGAAAAAGCATGGAAGGATCAATGATGGTTTGGCTTCTCCATAGGTTTATTCACGATACTCAATACAACATAATTACAGACTTCTTTTCCCTTCCAATACCAGCTAATAAATTGTTCTAGTACTATGCCCTCTCCCTTACAATTAGTATTAGCTACTCCTAGTCACAATTTCATCTTGGCTCTAAACACACACTGGGCTATGGAATTTTGAAGTTAAAATTCTACCCTTGAGGGAATCCAAGAAACTGTGCTTCCAGTCCCTCACCCTGCAGACTGCATTGCTGGACAACACCTGAACTCCGAGTGATGGTTCTGAGGAAGGGTCACTGTGTTTGAAATGTTAGCTCTAATTTCTCTCCATGCATGCTTCCAGACCTGCTGAGCTTCTCCAGCAATCTCTGCTTTCATTTCAGGTTTGCAGCATCTACAGTTCTTTGTTTTGTTTATCAGAGTAATGGTCAGTTTAGTGCTGAATTCCAGGACATTTATGGCACAGGTCAGTCCTGATTAGTGCCAGATGAAAATCTTTGATTGCATGTCTCTCTTATCAATGTTTACTGCCCAGCAATTATGAGTTTTAAATTGATCAAATTATAATTGAGTGGTTGCGACTTCCTTTATAATCCTGAGCCTGAAGGTGCACTGATAGTGGTCTCCCTGTTATAGGAAGGATATTGTGAAACTTGAAAGGTGCAGAAAAGATTTACAAGGATGTTGCCAGGGTTGGAGGGTTTGAGTTATAGGGAGAAGCTGAATACGCTGCGGCTATTTTCCTTGGAGCATTGGAGGGTGAGGGGTGACCTAATAGAAGTTTATAAAATCATGAGGGGCATGGATGGGGTGAATAGCCAAGGTATTTTTCCCAGGATAGGGGAGTCCAAAACTAGAGGGCATAGATTGGAGGTGAGAGGGGAAAGATATAAAAGACACCTGAAGGGCAACTTTTTCATGCAGAGGGTGGTATGTATGTGGAATGAGGAGGTGGTGGAGGCAGATACAATTACAACATTTAAAAGGCATCTGCTTGGGAATATGAATAAGAAGAGTTTAGGTGATATGGGCCAAATGCTGGCAAAGGGGACTAGATTGGTTTGGCATGGATGAATTGGGCTGAAGGATCTCTTTCTGTGTTGTAACTCCGTGACTCTATGACTCCATTTACCTGTGTTTTTCCCCCCTCGTTCCCCCAGGTGGTGTCACGGGGACAGGTGGTACTCACAGGTAAAAGCAACCTGACCACAATCCAGCTAACGCCAGAACTTTCCTGGGCTCCTTCAGCAAGTCTCATCGTCTACTACATTGCAGAAGATGGCCAGATTGTTCATGATGATTTGGAGCTCGAAGTAGAAGGCATCTTTGCAAATAAGGTCGGCCCTTTTGCTGATGTTTGATCTTGCCTTTGGATTTGGACAGCACCAGGAGGACAGCCATTGTCCCTCAGCTCAATTGCTGGTCAGGTCTAATCAAACCTGGTCATTTCAGACATCTCAGAAGTTCTTCAGGGTGGCTTATCACAAGGTCATCTCAGATGTCTGAAATGACCCTGTGATAAGTCACCCTGAAGCACTTCAACACTTCTTCAACTCTTGTTCTCCATTTCGCATATCAAAGATGCATTAGATATTACAACTGTTTCTGTTAATGAAATGTGTCCAGATCATTTCCACTGCCTTCCCAGCAAATGTCCAATTTTTAATTGGGTAGGTTCTGAAGAAGGGTCACTGGATCCAAAATGGTAACTCTGCTTTCTCCTCACAGATGCTGCCAGAACTGCTGAGTTTTTCCAGTAATTTCTGTTTGTGCCATAACAATGTGGTTAATTCACATGTCCACTTTTTATTTCTGCTACAAATCAGTCATGACTCTTTACACCCAAGTTACTCTCAGTTTGTGTTCAACTCAGTCAATCAAAAGTACTGAGTCCAGGCTTTGATGCTGCTTTTGTTTGGCTGTCAGTCTCGCTGACCACGTTTTAGGTCACCTGTCCCAACATCTTCTTAATGAACTTCAGCTTGTATATGTGAAGGGAGGTTCTACTTCATTAAAGACTTGGACAGACATTAAAAGCTTGCGTTACGAAGAGAGATTGAGCAGTTTGAGAGACATGGTTGAGGTACATAAAATGCTAAAGGGAAACGACAAGGTAGAAGGTGTTTCCTCACGGGGGGTAATCTAGAATGAGAGGCCATAGTTTTAGGACTGGGGTAGCAGATTTATAACAAAAATGCAGAGAAATTACTTCTCTCCAAGGGTTGTGAATCCATCGAATCCACAATCCCAGAGTGCGATGGGACACTGAATAAATTTAAGGAGGAGATAGACAGATTTTTAATTAGTAATGTGTTGAAGGGTATTGGGAGTGATCAGCAAAGTGTGATTGAGGCTGAGATGAGACCAGCCATGATTGAATTAAATAGTGGAGCAGGGTCAAAGGCCTGAATGGCCTACTCCTGTTCTTAGTTCCCATGACAGTGGAGGCTTCCCGTGTCTAGAGGTGTATGAGGCCGATGTCTGTTTTTGGAGCTTGTTTTTTACCCCAGAGCAGGTCTTTAGTCTGAACAGAGGCTGTAGTTTGACATGTGCCACTCTATATTAAGACTAGCTGACCAGGACTCCTTCCTGCTCTTACTGGCTTCTGTACAGTGAGCTGGCAGAATTTGCAGATTACCAACCTTTCTGGCCTCAGTGGATATCACAGCCTGGAGTGGGACTTAAATTCTGGAGTCTCATGTGCAGAGTCTGTACCCACAAGACCTCCATCTACTTGAAAAGTGCCATGTATTGTCCTTCATTTGGGGCAGCACGCTGGCTCAGTGGTTAGCATTGCTGCCTCACAGCGCCAGGGACGCGGGTTCGATTCCACCCTTGGGCAACTGTCTGTGTGGAGTTTGCACATTCTCCCTGTGTCTACATGGGCTTTCCTCCCACAGTCCAAAGATGTGCAGGCTAGGTGAAGTGGCCAGGTTAAATTGCCCCACAGTGTTCAGGGATGTGTAGATTAGGTGGGTTATAGGGAGATGGGTCTGGGTGGAATGCTCCAAGGGTCGGCGAGGACTTGTTGGGCCGAAGGGCCTGCTTCCACACTGTAGGGATTTTATGATCTCCAAACTGATGGAAATCAAATTTGTTCCTGGCAATTTGATGATTTATTCCAATTGGTGCAGGTATCATTGTCTTGGAACAAGGAGCAAGTAAATCCAGCTGATAATGTCTCTCTCAGCGTGTCCACCAACATAGGCCAGTCACTTGTCGGGGTCTTAGTGGTGGACAAGAGTGTTCGACTACTGAAGGGAGGGAATGATCTCACAGAAGAGATGGTAAGTGACGATTAACCTCAGTTACAGTGTCCTATAAACATAAGACAGCAGCTGAACAAGAACAAAGTCTCCATGCAGTCAGCTTATCTGAGCAAGGAAATTAATATTCACTCCTGGGTTACAGATCACTAGCTTAGAATAAAGCCCAATCATCATTTTTTTTATTGGATGGATTTCCTTGAGTTTTTTTGGGAGGTACCTTTCACAGTTTTGTTCAACAATTTAAAAACAAACAATGGCTCAGGATTAAAGAGAAACACGGTATATACATAAGCTCACCTCTGCATCAAGACTATTGTGTGCAGTTCTGGTCATCACATTACAATAAGGATGTGCAGGCTTTGAAGAGGGTGCAGAAGAGGTTTACCAGGATGCTGCTGGGATTAGGGGGTATGGACTATAAGGAGAGGCTAGAAAAACTCAGATTGTTTTCTCTGGAGTGGCGGAGGCTGAGGGAAGACTTGATAGAAGTCTATAAAATTATGTGATGCATAGATGGTGTTGACGGTCAGAACCTTTTTCCCAGAGTTGAAATGTTTAATACCAGGGGGCATGTATTTAAGGTGAAAGGCTGAAAGTTCAAAGGAGATGTGAGATTCCAGTTTTTTACACAGAGAGTGGGAGGAGTCTGGTGGTGATGGTGGAGGCAGATACGATAGGGGTGTTTAAGGGACTTTTAGATGAGCATGAGAATATGCAAGGAATGGAGGGATATGGACTAAGAACAGGCAGAATGGAGTGTTTTCAAATGAACCTGTTGGACTCTAACCTGGTGCCGTGTGACTTCTGACCTCGTCCACCCCGGTCTGACACCAGCACCTCCATATCGTCGCAATATCGTGAGCTGCAGGGTTCATTCCTGAGCTGTACTGTTCTATGTTCCATGTTCAAAGTGAAAAAAAGAACAGGCAGCTTACAAGAATCTTTGTAAGTGAGTACAGGTCTTGATAAGTGGATACTGTAAAAATGCTGAGCAGATACACAGGATGGTATCACCACAAGCAAAGAGACCCCGTTGTAAAATTTTATTATGAGAGCTTGGCTATCCAGAGGCGATGTTGTAAAGCTCTGCTTCACACCCAATCTCAGAAAAAGAACATTCAGCCCAAAGCTTCTATGTCAGCTCTCTGATCATTTTAACTTAGTGCCACTGTTCTGCCTTTTCCCCGGTATCCTGAATATTCTTTCTATTCAAATACTCTTCCAGTGCCCCTCTGAAAATACCTCAATTAAACCTGGCACCATCGCATTTCCACACCCTAATTACTTACTTAGTGAAAAAGTTTTTATCACCTCATAGTTGCATCTATTGCAAAACACTTTAAAACTGCACCCTCTGGTTCTCGATCTGTTTATGACTTGGAATAGCTTTCCCCCCAACTATCTACTCTGTCCAGCCCATTAATGATTCTGAAAATTTCTGTCAAATCTCCTCTTAGTCCTCTCTCTTCCAAGGGGAACAATCTCAACTTCTCCAACTTTTCCTCATAACTGAAATCTCTTATCCCTTTAAACATTCTCATAAACTCCTTTCCAACCCATTCACATCCTTCCCATTATGTGGTGCCCAGAACTGTACACAATACTCCAGCTGAGGTCTAACTATTGTCTCATAAGGCATGTGGAACTCCTTCCCGTTAAATTTGTTGAGGCATGAATGGCTATAAGGCAACAATAATGCAACACAAAGGGATAAAGGCATGAATAATGAAAGAAGGCAGCGAGAAAAGGTATAGAACAAGATGGAGACAGACATCAAGATCCAAGTTTATTGATGTCAATATTGAGGCCGGGATGCTGCAGTGAGCTAGGTTAAAAGACACTGATCCTTGAGTTTGCACTGAGCCTTGATGGTCAAGGATGGAAAAGTGAGAGTGAGATCAAGGTGGAGATCTAAGATGAAGGGGGTAGGAAGTCTGGAGTTATGTTGCAGACTTAATGGAGGTGGTGTACAACTTTAGATTTGGTCTTCTCAGTGCAGATGAGATCAGATGGTGAGTAGGGAATGCAATCGTAAGAACTACAAGTGAATCATTGTTTCATTTGGAAGGAGTGTTTGGCAGATGGATGTATGGAGGAGGTGAATCTCCTGTACTTGTGCGGAGAGATGGTGTAAGGAAGAGAGAGGGTGCTGCAGGGGTTACCAGTATGTTACATGGGGAAAGGTGCCTTCAGGATTTGGTGAGGCAAGGCAAAACTGAAGACAGTCAGCATCTGAGGCTCTGATCAGCTGGCTTTCGAGAATGGAGTCCTCCTTTGTACAAAGGGACAGATTATCAAAGGAGATGGTCACAGACTAGGCTGCACTTCCTGGTGGCCATCTGCAGTATGACTGAAACGTTCAGAGAGCAGCTGGAGGGACAGAAAGTACAAAGTGAATTTATTCTTTGCTGAGGACTCAGGTGCGATAAAAACGCTGCTTTTGTCTGCAGGTTATTCAGGAATTAAAAAGTGCGACTAAAGACAACGCCAAGCCGACTTATAGCTGGTATCCCCATAATGTATTTCAGGTGAGGAGTGGAATGGGGAGGGCTTCAGCAAATGGGAGGGGTAAATGTGAGACATGAGTGTGAGGGGGGAGGGAAGACAGTGGTAAATGGGGTGTGGGTGGGGACAGCCTGAAATTAGGCAGGGAGGATTCACGGAAGGTCTGATGATGGTGGGGAGGGCGGTGATGTTATACACTGTTGTGCTAGGGACAATGAAGATATCGTGAGGGTGTGGGATGGTGTGGTGAGGGTGGGGGACGATGGGATGAGGGTGGGGGACGGTGTGGCGAGGGTGGGGGGTGGTGTGGTGAGGGTGGGGGAATGATGGGATGAGGGTGGGGGAACGGTGTGGCGAGGGTAGGGGACAGTGTGGCGAGGGTGGAGGATGGTGTGGTGAGGGTAGGGACGGTGTGGCGACGGTGGGGAGGGTGTGGTGAGGGTGGGGGACAGTGTGGCGAGGGTGGAGGACGGTGTGGTGAGGGTAGGGATGGTGTGGCGAGAGTGGGGATGGTGTGGTGAGGGTGGGGGACAGTGTGGTGAGGGTGGGGGACAGTGGTGAGGGTGGAGGATGGTGGGGTGAGGGTGGGGGACGGTGTGGCGAGGGTGGAGGATGGTGTGGTGAGGGTGGTGGATGGTGGGGTGAGGGTGGAGACGGTGTGGCGAGGGTGGGGGATGGTGTGGCGAGGGTGGGGATGGTGTGGTGAGTGTGGGGGAACGATGGGATGAGGGTGGGGGATGGTGTGGCGAGGGTAGGGGACAGTGTGGCGAGGGTGGAGGATGGTGTGGTGAGGGTAGGGACGGTGTGGCGAGGGTGGGGAGGGTGTGGTGAGGGTGGGGGACAGTGTGGCGAGGGTGGAGGACGGTGTGGTGAGGGTAGGGATGGTGTGGCGAGAGTGGGGATGGTGTGGTGAGGGTGGGGGACAGTGTGGTGAGGGTGGGGGACAGTGG